GGGGGGGGGGGAGAAAGGGCGATATGCACTATGAATATACTCATTAATTCTGTGATCTTTGCGTACTGGGTAGCTGAGAAAAATTGGTGTTGTTGAATGTCTTCGCTTTGTAGGAAATGGTCCAAGTGCTTTAAGTCTGTCCTATTTGTTGTCTGGAAATGTACCTTACTACATTCCTCATCAGCATCCAAATGTTATTCTTGACCAGAAGCTTTGTGAGGAACCTGGAAAATCACTGCTGGACGTTGTAAGTTTAAGTCAAGATTAATTGAATTTAGCCAAACTATTTAAGTGCAACAGAATTTCCCTCTTGCCTTTTCAGCATACAATGGTTTAATTCCCTGCCTGATTGATGAACTCAGTTGTAAAATGATCAATAATGAAATATTGATCATTATTGATAATTGATGGTTATAACCCTTTAACTTCCAAGACTGAGACAGAATTTCTCCTTACCTTATCAATACAATATCAAGCAGACAGGTAATGAGAATAAAGAAAAATGTAAATTAGGAAATATTAGTAGATCAAATACTGAAATCTCCAAACTGACATCATAAGAATTGTATGTTAGACAGTAGGAAGAATTGCCACTGAGATCTTGGGAGGGAAAGGGTTAATGGTAGGGCTTTCAGTTTAGAGATGTCTTTTACAAATACTAATTTATTCACATTTGGATTTTGATTTTCTCATGACAAGGAAGGTTTAGGTAGTAGTGTGTCGAAATAGTAGGAGGAAGTTGTTTTTATTCTGTATGCAAGTGATATTGAATGTGTACTTTGTTTGGAACATTTTTTAGGATTTGGAGTACTTGAGTGAAGGATTAGAAGGGCGCTCTTTAAATCCTGTTGCCCTGTTGTTTGACCAGTTGCTACGACCCAATGCTGACCTGGGCAAAGACCAAGATTCGTGTCTCAAGTGGCATTACAGTGAAAACAGAGCTGTTAAACATTTGGTTATGGGTAGTGGGCAACCTGGTGGATCTTGGCATCACATGCAGGGATCTCAGCTAACCCTGAGCCTTAACAACTGGCTTGAATTACCTGGGTGTGATTTTCAAGACTGGCTTAGGGCTCATCGCTCGTCAACTGTGCGCAAACCATGCAATCTTGTCACAAACGGTGTGAAAAGTGATGGTTACAGTTAGGATCGGGCAACAACAAGCCACATTGCTGAATACTATAAGGACTATGTCAATTATACAAACATCGCATCAAACTTTTGGAATGATGCAAAGGTGTTGTCAGTCAAACATGTAACTCCAGGCGATTGTACTAACTGCCACTGCAGAATGTCCAGCATTCCCAGAGAAGGCTGCTGGGAAATCCAAGGAGTCAAGGGAACTTTTCCAAACATGCCTGAATTTTTTGTTGTACATGCATACAATGTTGTCCTTGCTACCGGAAACAATGTCCCTAAGCTGTTGGGAATCCCTGGAGAAAACCTTCCATTTGTCTGCCATAAGATGGATCAAATAGATAGTTATTTAGACGAACTTAGTGAGGTTGCTCATTCAATGGACCCATGCCTGGTGGTAGGGGCAGGGTTATCTGCAGCAGACTGTGTCTTAGCTCTGCGTAATAAGGGTGTCCCAGTCATACATGTGGTGCGCAGAAATGGAAATGATCCTAAAATAATTTACAATCAGCTACCTGGTGTGGTGTACCCAGAGTACTATAAGGTGGGCCAAATGATCAAGGGGGAGGTGACCACGGCTTATGGGAAAGATTCCTCCTATGTGGCTTACACCAAGACTACCCTAGTGGAGATTCGTAAAGACAAAGAGTGCATCCTGAAGAAGGCTGATGGAACCCTCTTTAAACTGAAGGTCTCGAATGTTTTTGTGTTGGTTGGTGCAGTTCCTGATCTTTCTTTCCTGCCTGACATCAATAAGAATGAACTTGGAAGTAATCCTGCAAAGAAAATTGATAGCAAAGAGAATCCTATTAACATTAATCCCTTTACCTATGAGACTGTTCTGGAACCAGGCTTGTTTGCAGTGGGCCCTCTGATTGGAGACAACTTTGTCCGCTTTGGAATTGGAGGTGCATTAGGTATTGCAAATCATCTCATGAGGGAAGAGGAATAGTTTACCTCAGGACTTGGTGACAAAAAAAACAAAAAAAAACCAAAAAAACCAGTTCATGATGTAATACAGGAATTATTCAAAGATTTAGACGTATTCTTTTTTAACTCGATTCTAATTTAATTTACAGTTGATAAGAGCTACAGTTAATATTTTTGTGCCTCATTTGCTGGTGATTTTAGACTAAAATGATATGAGATTAAATTGCTGTCCCTTCATCGAGGTTAACAAAGGAAGTGTATAAGTTTCATGCATTCTTTTGAGTGGCTGATATGAACTCAGCTTGTCACATACTGGGTAATCATGTGACTGTTGTGGTGTATAAATTGTATATAACCCTTAAATTGTCTCTTGAACAACAGAAGGTTCTTGTTTGAGTGGTTAAGGGGCAGCAATCCATATGGGGCTGGTATGTATCAAAGAAAGTTTGGTCAAATTACTTCTTCTTTACTAACCAATTTATAGGGAGCCATTTATTCCTCTCCAAATTTTTGTATTTTGGTCATGCTTGCTCAAATAAGTTTCCTACAAAGAATGTATACAACACTAGAAGGTAGTGTAACAAATTGCCATCTTCAGCAAAGTGTAAATTTTTAACTTAAACCTTTTTAAGTTAACTATCTAAGAGTTGTATTTATTTCACCATAATATGTAAAAGGCTTGTAGTTTGCTGGACAAAAAACACCTTTAAATAAATAACAGGATTTGTCTTATTATCAGTTGGTTTATTCTTTAAATCTATGGAACGTAGATAAATGTTAGTTAATGTTGTCACCTTGAGGTTTGGTCTTTAAGTTTATATTATTAAAGCATAGACACAAAGCATCAACAAAGAGCAAAATACCTGTACATCCCTCGTCACTCAATTAACTCTTTCACTGACTAGTTTCCAGGCTGCTAGCCTTAGACTTGAGAGAATGTCTTGGCATTCTTTTAAGTTCTGGAATGTTCTGTAATTTTCACTGACCTTATTTTTACTTCACAGTTAGGTAATGTGTTAGTAACTTATTATCTAAGGAGTTGAAAATAGTTTGTCGGTTTATAATTTTATTACTTTTTCTAGTACAAAAAATCTAAATTCTTTTTATTCTTTGAGCACTATCAATTACGGTTGTAGTAAAAGCCAAGGGAATTAGCTGAAACTGAGGCTGTCTTCATACTAAATTATGTGCATGTTGTTTTAGACAGCATGTAAATGAATTAGTAATCAAGAACCTGCTTCTATATATTAAGGAGGTCATACTTAAGTACTGGACTGTTGTTTGTGATGGCATCTGTGCTGTCATGGACTAAGATGTGCAACATGCAAAGTTTTACAACAATAATTGTCAATAGAGGTTTCAGAAAAATGCTTTTCCTTCATCTGGAATGTTAAGGGATGATGAGACTTCATGGGCAAGGTTTGACAAATTAAACACAACAAATATATGAAATTCATATATCTGAACTGCGGTTATAGAAACGTATTTGTCTATAACCGCAGTTCAGATATATGAATTTCATCTATTCGTTATTGGTAGAGCGCTGCACTAGTATTGCAAAGATCTGTGGTTTCAATCCTGTACAGGCCTGATTTTCACTATTGCTTAAATAGTACTCTAGTGCAAGGATTGTGCACAAATACGTTTGACAAATTGTTAACAAAGGAAATAATTTGGATATGTCAACAAAGTTGAAGTGGTAAATTGGCCACCGTAACGATTCCAAAAGCTGACATTTCGAGCGTTAGCCCTTCGTTGATATATCCAAATTATTTCGTTACTCCCACCGACGCAGCCCCAGTTTCTTTCGAAACTATCAGCCTTTATTCATTTGTTAACAAAGGACTTTTTCAAGCCCCACGTGAGGTACAGTTGTTTTAGGTAGAAAGTTATTCCTTTCCAAATTTTGTCCATCTAGAAGTGCTTGCTCCCTTTCCTCTTTCTTTTGTACATTCAACTTGCATTGAGAATCAATTGTTTAAGAGAGAAGTAACAAATTAGCAAGCAGTGAGAGGTGAACAATTTTCAACTCAAAAAATAGAAATTTCTGTATCTTCCCTCATTTACTCAGGTGTTTAATTGTACTAATTTATCAAAGGCATGTAATTTGCTGGACTTTCAAACAATGCTTAATTTTATTTAATAACTACATTTGTCTCATTAACAAGTAGTGTACTCCTGTAATCTTGCAAAGAAAATGCAGAGATGGCTGTGAAAAGGGTTTGGAAGTTTTGTGACCCTCAGGAAGTGATCAGCTAGGAGTACCAGTAATTTTTTTACATAATTGGAATCCTAAGGGGACTATTTAGGGAAGTGTATGGTTGGCATATTCCTCTGAAATCAAAGCTCAAGTAACTGGAATGGCCGGATCATCTCTCCTTGTCCCACCAGTACACAAATATGGCTTAAAGTTAAATTTAATAAGAGCAAATATGATCCTAACGTGAAAACAGGAAAACTGCCCAGAATGCAGAGAAATACAGATTGCCACACCACCACTGTTGTTTTTTTGGATCTGAGTAAATTGTAGACCAATAAGCTATGCAACCATGGCATAATTCTACCCACCATTTAAATTATCTCTTTCTGTTTTGACCTGTTTTCATTCTCAAGTTCAGCTGAAATCCATACCAGACTCACAAGCCTAGTACATGCTGATGAAAACTACATTAAATCAAGCCAAAACAACATCACTTAACCATCACAACTTTATTCAATATACTTTCTAAGTTTTAGAGGTCATAATGTGAATACTAACAGAACCACCTGCAGCTATAAAGTACTGTAATAAAAATACATCATTAGTCAGAGTTTAATGACGAGTGTAAGGTGAAAAGTGCTGAGTGGTCACGATCATTTCCTATCCTGAGCATCTGCAAAAATATCTTGTCTTGTTCAGCAAATTGACAGTTTTGTACATATCAAGTCTTCACAAGAGAGGATCAAGTTATCATAGTAATCCCTTTCTGGGTTATTTCTAGACTTGAGGTCTCTCGTCTCCCAGAGTAACGTTACCACATACCCTGCATGTATCTTGGATTAGATAATGTAGCATTAAAGGTATGGATGCCACCCGAGTTGTTCAAGTGACCTACATGGAATTTACTCAATTTAATGCCAGTCTAAACTAAATTTGGTGGGTTTCCTAACAGCCTGCTCATTTCTGGTGGCTTTTCCTGTAAAATGATCTTTCTGTAGTCAGCAACATTTACTATGGTAAATCAGTTGTAACTATCATGAAATACAGAAACTTATACAATGTTCCACTACCTAAATATGTTGTAGACGGCTGAGTTGTACCTTTCTAGAAACTTTTCCTGTTGTAATCCTAAAATGCTTGCCCCATTCTTCACAGTGAGTGCATTGTTAATTGAAATGTAAAGGGTATTCAAGTAAATACAGTATTCATGACGTGTAACTGGCTTTTGCCAGATAATCCCAAGTTTCCAGGACATGGATTCCCTCATGATTAAGGTCCATATGCTTGAGGGAGATTCACCCTTAGCTTGATCTTCTCTTGATTTAGAACTTCTTTAATCTCAGTTTCTTAACACAGAAGCAACTGAAGCAAGTGCATGCTTAATACAAAGGAAAAAATATTAGTTTAAGTAGCAAAAAATCTGCATGCTGTATGTATGTATGTACAGGTACTTTTCACCTTTCTACTCCACATGTTTCCTATTCAACCCCATTAATTAATTTGGAAAGATAACATGTGTAAAACGATATTTTTCCAGTGTTCTTGCCTGTCTCAGAATTCTTTATCTGCTTGAAATCCGTCCTGCTTGTCTTAGTTTACAGACTGACCACCTCGTTAAACTGTAAATTTTTTCATATGTACTAGCTTGGAGAAGTATTTTACTGTTGTTTACTCTTCAGCTGAGCTCTCTTCTGGGTGATGGCCTGGAAACCTGATTTGATACTAGCAACAGATCTTCTTGATCCACATGTTTCACACTGAATGAAAAATAATCTAGTTTCTTTCTGCAGAATGGTATCCGGAGATCTGCAGGTGTGACACGTGACATACTCCTCTGTAGGAGACACAAACAAGGCAGATTAACCCTTAAACTCCCAAAAGAGATTCACATGTAACTTCTCCCTACATTATCCATACATTAACAAACAAAACAGGTAATGAGAATACTCAAACATATCAGGTAGAAGTTGCTATCTTGATCTAACACCAAATTCTTGTAACTAATTTACTTAGTTCTTATTAACTTAGTGGGAGGTCTGTATGGGAGAATCTTAACCGAGGTCACCAGTACAGACCGAACACAGTGAGGTCTGTACCAGTGACCAAGGTCAAGATTCTCCCATACAGACCGACCTAGCTCGGTTAATAAGATGTTTATTATATGGCTGTGTCTTATGTGCCAATTTTTTATATTCTTTGTACCTTTTTTTCTAGACAGGTCTAGATGCCGGTCAAGATGGGAAAATCTAGACTGCTTTCAATATTGATTTCAGCCAATCAAATTCGTGAATTTGGTAGTTCCCAGTTCTTGTGAGACACAGCCATATAATAAAAGGAAATAAAAAGCAGCTAGAGGGAAGAATTAACAATCAGATCTTGGAGAGTAAATGGGTTAACTCTGAAGATTCATTGACAAAACTGATCTACAGGCAACTTGTTCTTGAAAAATTAAAATGCTTTGAGGCACGTCTGATTAGACTCACTAATTGATCAATGAGGGAAGTTTTGATGGAGCATCAAAAACAAATCATTCTAAATAACTTGTGTCTAAAAATATTACAATTACACTTACTGATGTATCTTCTAAGCACATTTTCAATCATTTTTTGTTGGAAGCGTCCTTTAATGATAAGTTGATTATTTCCATCAATTGAGCCACTGCAAGAAAATTAAAATAAAACCAAATCAGAATTACACATACAACATCAAGTTAGAAGATAGATGTAAATAGGTTAGTAAATGGATTTTAATTCCAAAAAAAAAAAAAAAGGAAATCAGACTTCAAGACTCCCCTGCCATGAACTTGAATTTTTTTGACAAACATGCTGTGTGGGAAAGTGCAGCTGTTATTAAACAGTAGCAGTAAAAAAAGATGGACACCCATACCTTGTTCCTAACTCTGCAAGGAGAAATGCTAAGAGATGTTTTGGTTGTCTGTGCAAGCTGCAAAAATAAAATCATTTCATATCTGAATCAACAACAACCCTTCAAAGCTGTGGACCCCATGTGGAGCACATGGCATAAAAGTATAAAAATAATTATTGTTAAGTCTCTTGGCTGAACTAAAATTATCTTGAGCCATTCAATCTCCCAGTATGATAGCCATTAATGCACAATATTAAAACTTTCAGAAGATAATGGGAGACAGGGTTCCTTAGCAGTTATTTGGGACTTCAAGCAGTAAGGACGGCAATGGCACAGAAGACCTCGATTAAAAAATGAGTTTCTACTTCTAGTTAGAATTTTGAAAATGGTTGCTTGTGTTTACCGTCTCATAGGGCGCCAGAACTCAATCTCAACATAACGCATAAAAGGAACGTCGAGTTCCAAATGTAAATTAGAATAATTTGCCTCCACCCTTTCGCTTAGCAGACGACGCAAATTTTGGGGATTTCACGTTGTTGTTTTGCAAAGGACGGCTAAGAAATGTACAAAGTTTTAAAACGTATGTACTGGCCTATTGTTGTTCCATTGTTCACTTGAGATAATGTATTCTCTTGAATTTTGTACTGGAGAACGAGGCCAGAAAGGCTAATTTAAATTTAAACAAAAGAATATTAATTTGGCAGCCATTTATGAAAGTGGTCTATTAGGTCTATGGTTTTTCGACGTTCTCGTTGCCGTCACCGTCGTGGTTTGCTTAAATTCCCTATTGCCCTGGACTTTGCATAAGAATACTGATCTTACCTTTACATTCTCACAGCTAGGTAATGACTGAGTTAAACTTGATTACAATAATCTCAAACTTTCATCCACATACATTTTACAGATGTCTGTGAAGTTGGCAAATGATGTCTTTTTTGTTCCTATCCTGACTACTTGTGGTGGTTTCATCACAAACTTCTTCTTTTCTCCTGTCACCATTTCAGGGTTCTTGGCTCGCATAATGTCAAAAACCCTTGTTAATAACTGTGAGTGTAAAAAACAAGGGATGAGTGAAAAGAAATATAAATAATTTGTGTACTTATTTCCTAATTTGCTTGCTGAATAGTAATTTTTTTCTGATTGGGTTCTTCTGCTCAATCATAACAAATACCTCTTCATATGTGTAGTCTCTATCATTCCAAGCAGGCACGTCATCATTATCATCTAACATATCTCCTAAAGAAAAAGAGAATTGTATTTGTCAAAAAGACAAAATCAAGCATCACACTTCAACCTTTTTGTTCAATACTATTTTGACCTCTTAATCTAGCTGCAAAGTTGTCATTCGAAACAAAATAGCCTTTACCATCATCCGCATCAGAATCTGCTCCATTTTCTGTTGCTTTGGTCTCAACTTCATTCATGTCTGTTTCATCCAGAACCTATTGAAAAAATTATATAAAAATGTTCCCATTCTTCCTTCTTGTCAGAGAACAACAACCAAAACAAAAATAACAAAAACATACAAAATTTGAATTTGTAAGGCCTTAAAAAAATCCATAACATGATCTTGAGGAACTGGGTAATTGCAAAAGCCTGTATCTATGTAAAATGAAGTTTAAAACATCAATGTGTCAACAAGAAACATCAGCAAAAAACAAACAAGGCTCGACAAAAAAAATTGTTTGTGCTTACCCTATGGGATAAATTGAAGGTGGGTTTGTGACAAAGAGAGGAACTGACAATGTTTAAGCTAGGAATCTACTACTCCTGGATGATCTGGTTTCTAATAAAACAATAATAAAAACCTCCACAGAACCTCATGTAAATGAAAGGTTATATATTACACACCGGCTTCTTCTTCTTCTTCTTCTTTTTTGTGGAAAAATTGAAATCAAGGTCATCCATAGTTTCTGCATTGTTTTCCTTTTCACCATCATTTCCTCCAGTTTCTTCTGTTTTGTTTTCGCTGGCTGAGTCCTAAGGAGATAAAGGTCTAAAATGTTCAGCAGCTGACAATGGTGGCACCTATCATAGAATTAAGCAAACACAAATGCTAATCACATTCAAGATGTAAGGGAAAATTTGATTTATTACCCAAATCTATACCCCTTCCAAAACTTGACTGGAAAATATTTGAACAATAAAACAATTCAAAGTGTCATAAAACCACAACAATTATTGCATCAGCCAAGTTTGTAACACAATCACATACCGGAAGGGCATCCTCCAGGCCCTCCATGTCATATGGCTTCTTTTTCTTCTTTTTCTTTTTCTTCATCCCAGAAAAGTCATCCAGATCTAAAATGTCTGCAAGAACATAATTATACTTAACAATTACCCTTGTATGAGATTCTTAAATGATAAATTTTCCAGGCAGTGGAAAGAAAAGAGCCCTGCTAATGAATGACAATAATTGCTGACATAGTCATAACCTATCTAAATTAGACGAAGGAAAACCTTTGATCTGAAATTATGTGTTTACAACTTGTTTGTCTGTTCACATATTTATGATGAAAAAGTCATTTCTAGTTAATTTCCAAGTACTTTTTTACTACTGTACAAGTAATACATCATTAATATCCCTTTCCTTTTGATGATGTAAGATACATTAAGTTCCTTTTCTTCAAATATCTCCAAAATCAATTTCTTCTGGAATAATTGACAGTTGGCTGGCATCTAAGTGCCAAAGATCTCCCTCCATAAGAACTACTATCTAGATACAAACTTTTGCAGTAACCACAAACTCTACCATTGATTTGGGCTTCTTTAATAGTCACAGTTGACAAACAATTTATGATGGGAAGATGATGTAAATCAGCAAACGATGTAGGTATACTTGATAGAAAGAACTCTGAAGACTCCAAATTGGAGTCAAACCTACAACCTTCAAATAAGTACTTCCAGTGCTCTACCACTGAGCTATAAAAGACTTGTGGTAGGTTAGGAATTTTAACTAGATCCGTGATGAAAAATTTACCATCTTCCCTAGCATCATCAATGCATAAAAGCATCACATATGAGCACTCCTAACCTGGCAGTATGTAGAAAGTAACTACATAATCTAGAATTTTTTTTCATTTGGACTTCCTTCTAGGAAATTCAAGCAGATAAGTTGCATGCCAGCCAGTAATGAGTACATAAAACAATAAAACAGTTGGCTTGTTAGCTCAATTGGTAGAGCGCTGCACTAGTATCGCAGAGGTCAGTGGTTTGAATCCTGTACAGGCCTGATTTTTTTTCAGGTCTGATTTTCGCTATTGCATAAATAGCGCTATCTACTGCGAAGGATCGTGCATCATACGTATTTAATACCGCAGTTCAAAATATATAAACTTCATATATCCATTGTATATGATTTATCATCACGGGTTTATTACGAATCAACTTAACGGCCTGCTCCCAGTTGGCTTGTNGTGGAAAGAAAAGAGCCCTGCTAATGAATGACAATAATTGCTGACATAGTCATAACCTATCTAAATTAGACGAAGGAAAACCTTTGATCTGAAATTATGTGTTTACAACTTGTTTGTCTGTTCACATATTTATGATGAAAAAGTCATTTCTAGTTAATTTCCAAGTACTTTTTTACTACTGTACAAGTAATACATCATTAATATCCCTTTCCTTTTGATGATGTAAGATACATTAAGTTCCTTTTCTTCAAATATCTCCAAAATCAATTTCTTCTGGAATAATTGACAGTTGGCTGGCATCTAAGTGCCAAAGATCTCCCTCCATAAGAACTACTATCTAGATACAAACTTTTGCAGTAACCACAAACTCTACCATTGATTTGGGCTTCTTTAATAGTCACAGTTGACAAACAATTTATGATGGGAAGATGATGTAAATCAGCAAACGATGTAGGTATACTTGATAGAAAGAACTCTGAAGACTCCAAATTGGAGTCAAACCTACAACCTTCAAATAAGTACTTCCAGTGCTCTACCACTGAGCTATAAAAGACTTGTGGTAGGTTAGGAATTTTAACTAGATCCGTGATGAAAAATTTACCATCTTCCCTAGCATCATCAATGCATAAAAGCATCACATATTAGCACTCCTAACCTAGCAGTATGCAGAAAGTAACTACATAATCTAGAATTTTTTTTCATTTGGACTTCCTTCTAGGAAATTCAAGCAGATAAGTTGCATGCCAGCCAGTAATGAGTACATAAAACAATAAAACAGTTGGCTTGTTAGCTCAATTGGTAGAGCGCTGCACTAGTATCGCAGAGGTCAGTGGTTTGAATCCTGTACAGGCCTGATTTTTTTTCAGGTCTGATTTTCGCTATTGCATAAATAGCGCTATCTACTGCGTTTTTTTTTGCATCATAAGTAATAAAACAAATAGATATATGCATTCTCTGAGTTTTTTTTAATCTCTGGCCATTAATGTTAATGCTTGCAAACTGAAAATAAATAATTAAAAACTGAAATAATTTAGACTGGAGATCATCTATTTCCTTTTCAAACTTTTTTTTTGACTGCACTTTTCTTTAAAAAAAAAAAAAGGTATCTTTACACTTTTTTTTTTAAAACAAATCAATGAGATAAAAAATTGCTGACATATAAAATTCTTGGGAATAGACAGATGCTGCTCCATTTGACCTGCCTGAAGTGATCTCTCATCTGTGATGTAGTTTTTATGAATGATCAATTAGTGCCATCTCAAACAAGAAACACTCTTTCCCAATCATAATTTTCATCCTAACGCAACTGATTAAAACAAACGTTTTTTTTTATAAGTTTTCATGTGATTCAGTTGTACATCCCTTAAAGCATTCTTTTTTTTTCAATCTTAGGAATCCAGAAAACTGGATTCAATGGTTAAAACGTCTTTTTTTTACAGACGTCTGGTCAAGCTCAAATTAAACAATCTCGCGAGACTTGAAAATAAACCAGACTTATGTACAAATATATGTAAAATGGCCGCTGTTTCTCGGATTTATGGATGTTTAAAATCTAAGAATGGTAACAAAACATCTGTGGTAGAGTTCAATATGTGCTAACGGATCACAAAATTTAGTTGTGTCTTAAGTTCATGATCAAGCATGTTCTTAATTTTGAATCAAATATCATGTAACATAAAGTTCAATTTTTTTTTTTCTTCCTTCTCTTCTTTCTCCTCCACTGTATTTTCCTGATTCTCTTTTTTTTGAGTATTCTCTTCCAGATTCGAGGGAGTACTAGGCTCTTCAAGTTTTTTTTTATCTAGAGGTATCTTCTTCTTGTTCTTCTTCTTCTTCATAGTGGTTTTTTTTTACGATTTTCAGATAAATTTGACGGGAATCGAATCAGTTTGAAGTTTTTTTTTTTCGGTAATAGCTTCACTGATAATCGAAGCATACTCACCGCTTTTTTTTTTGCCATTTCTTCGTATTAATTCACTGAAATATAGAGTTTCGTGTCGAAAATCGAAGTTGAAATTCCTCGTTGTTACAGAGGATTATTAAACGCTTTTTTTTTTTTAGTTGCGTCAGCCATCTGCGCATGAGCAGAGGCGAAACTCGTTTTTTTTTTTCTTGGATGAAAGCAAATTTATTTTTAGTTATCTATCCCTGTTTTTTTTTTTTTCTCCGGAATATGCAGTGCAGTCTCCCTCTTTCCTGTACAATACTTTTTTTTTATCGGCTATTTTAAATCTTGAGATTTTCACAATTGGTTCATCATTTTGGCGAAATTTTCCCTATTCTGAACTTCACTTCCTGGATCCGATTTAGCTTTTTTTTTCAGGTTTTTTTGGAGAGACTAGGAAGAACTGATCGGTCACAAAATTCAGTAGGATTGGGAGAAGTGATCTGACTTCAAACATCTCCAGATTTCGTATTTCTGAGCGAAGGAATTGAATGTCAAGCTAAAACACGTTTATTATTATTTTTCGGATCTCTGCACCACTAGCTTCACTAGACATGATCCCTCCATCATATCCATGTTTGACTAGTTTACGACATGATGAAAATCGATAACAGTCGATAAAGATATTTTTTTTACAGCGATAAATGATGAAAAACTTTACCGCGATTTTCCATCTGATTGATGGTAGATAGTCTTACCCTCATCGATTGATCTTGATCATGTATAGGCTTTTTTTTTAAGTCGTTATTTTGATTTCAGGGACTCTTTTTGTGATGGGGTGGAGAGGGGAAGAAGACGGTTGCACAAAACAGGAAAGCGGGCGCTGAAGTCGGCAGAAATCTGTAAGTGCCCCATCCATGAAAAAACGCCTGGTCGTAAAATCATTTTTTTTTTAAGCGAAAGTAAAAAAATGATACCACGTAAAATAGCTGACTACATTTTTTTTCTTTCCTGAGGTTGTAAGCTGGCGGAGAGACTTAAACAACTAACTCTTCCGTATCATGCTATATTAGAGAGTTTTAGATCTACGTTTGGTTTGTTAACCACAAACGTCAAACCATAGTTAGTCCGCGGTTAGTAGTTTGAGGTTAGAAGTTAGAAGTTTCGGGATTTTCAGCTTTTCAGATCCACGTCGGCTTTCACCTGGAAATAATTTGAATATATCAATAAAGTTGAAAGGGTAAATTGGCTACCGTTACGGTTATAAAAGCTGACGTTTCGAGCGTTAGCCTTCGTCGGAGCGAATAGAGTTTTTTTTGGTTGTGTGTGCTTTTAAAGGCAGAAAATGGAGCTAAGTGATTCTTTTTTTTTATCAGCCTTTTTTCACCTGGAAAAATCGACATGTGTTCTGCCATTTTTTTTGGAGGTCCTTTATTTCAAACACAAAATGAGGCTAAAAATTTAGTTTTTTTTTACTTCATCTCACGCACATTTACAAGAAATACGTGAAAACTTTCCTTTTTTTTGAAGAAAAGCGCTGAGGGAGTTTACCTACCTGAAGCTTCCTTGCCCGAAGTTCAAATGTGGACCGAAAGCATCGAACGGGACTGTTGGAGTCTGGTCACGTGACTCTTAGCGGTTTGTGGTCACGTATTAAGAAACAAACGAGGATCTAGAACTCTGTTAAAATTCTCTCCACAATGAGCCGACGAGACTCTGACAAACGCCGATGACTGCAGCGTTTCAAATCCTTTATCGTCGATTTCCTACCTTCAGCTACGAAAAAAAAACAATGCCACGAGTGAATATTTATACATCGGTCAGTAATCGCTATTGGCATCGATGATTGGTTTCCATTGATTGATTAATGAGGCCGGGAGAAAAATTATGATCTACGTCATGTTCTCTCTCCATCGCACGAGCGCGCGTGGTCTAACGCAAGCAAGCTCTTTTTTCCGTTAGTACAGAGAACGACGCGAGGGACGGATGCAAACTCCAACAAGAATGTTCATATCACCCTTCAAGTAACACTAATCTTCGTGTCTGAGATCCAAGAAACAGTTAATCTAATAGACATAATAGGTTGATTAATGAAGAAATAGTTCTTAACGCTTGATTACGAATTTTACGTCATAATAGAAAGCACAGACATCTCAGAAAGCTCAAGGGCTAGTTTCAGATAAGTGCTGTCTTGTTTTTTTTGCCTCCACGCAGGAAATAGTTGTATGCGGCAGAAAAGACGTTTGCCTCAGAAACCGAGTTTCAAAAGGCAAGCGATGGATGATAGTTTCGTCTTCTTTTTTTTTAAATATTCCAAGGATGTCTTGAAGCGATTGAGCGGATTGCAAAAGCAGGGGATCATGTGTGATGTTAGAATCACAATGGAAGGTGAAGAATTTCAATTTTTTTTAAATATTCTGTCAGCAAGCTCCGACTACTTCTTCGCTATGTTCATTTTTTTTATGAAGGAAAGTAAGCAGAGAGAAGTCACCATCACTGGGGTTGATAAGGACAGTATGAAAATGATTCTGGGATTTATCTATACTGGCGAGATTGTGCTAGACTGGAGCAATGTAGAACCGATCCTACAAGGCGCCAATCTGATGCTGGTGCAGTCTGTAAAGGATGCTTGTGGGCGTTTCCTCGAAAGTCGACTTAACGTGAAAAACTGCCTAGGTATTCAAAATCTGGCAGAGACCTATGCGTGTCCAAAATTATGGACAACTACGAACACTTTCATCTATCAAAATTTCCTTCACGTGGCCGAGAGTGAAGAGTTTATGAACTTGGACGAGAAGCAAATCCAGACTTTAATACAAAGTGACGAGATCTCAGTGGAGAACGAGGAAAAAGTTTACGAAGCTCTTGTTGGTTGGATAAACTACGACTTGGAAAATAGACGGCAGTTTTTTCCCTTATTAATGGAAGATATTCGCCTACCTCTTGTTTCCCCGTACTATTTAGTTGACGTGGTTGAGCACGAAGAACTCTTCAACACTTCACCAAGATGTAAGGAATTATTGCTTGAAGCACAGCATTATCATTTGTTACCAGACCGTCGTCAGCATCTCGACACCACCAGAACGAGACCGCGTAATTACGAACGTTTTCACGAGATTCTCATTGCTATTTTTTTTTATGGAGACTATCATAACCAAAGCACAGGTAGGTTAGTTTCTTTTATTAAGAAAATGTTAAAGAAAATATCGAAAACAATAATTTAGACGATCAGATTACACCAAATCTCTAATTAGATGCAAAATGTACTCTTGTATCTAACCCACTTTTTCAATCACGGATTAATCAGTTTTAATTGAACGTTCTCAATTTCATTCAAATTTTTTTTGTATTGAGAATGCATGAACACATTTTCCACTCTTCCTTTTCTTATTTTTTTTCTTCAACATCGTAACCCAGGTCTGGTCCGACCTGCCACGGTTCACAAAGGATCGCGGGTATCATGGCATCGCAAGTTTTGGAGGACAACTTTACGTCACTGGAGGGTATTGTAACATCAACTCTGAGACACTAGACATAGGTAACGAACAGTTTTGTAGAACGGATCCCTCATATAAGTCGTATTGTAAGAGCGATCCTTAGCCTACGTAGCTGGTGATTTTGTGTACGCTTTGAGGCGTCAACCGGCGGAGCGATAAAAATGAGAGGCGACGACGCGAGAGAATGGGAACCACAGGTGGAAAACAGCTTCTCTACACATCAACTTTGAAGCGCACAGAAAACTGCACGTTTCGCAGGCTAAAAGTGTTTCTTCAAACCACTACCCTCACTTCCGTTTTCGGAGAACCTTTTTTTTTTCAGTTTTGACAATTTTTAGACTGATTTTGTCAAGAGAGCCATTTATTAGCTAAGAGTCTATCACAACAGATAAAGTACTTCGTCAGAGCGAAGGGCTACGCCCGAAACGTTAGCCCTTCGTCTTCGTCATTCGCTCTGACCAAGGGCAGTGTACTTAATCGCATGAAATAGTTACTTTTATACGAAAAGGAATTATAGAGAGAATGGTCCATTAGACTCTCCTTCATAATTTTCCAGTCAAGAAATTCATTTTTTTTAAAAGCTTTATTTCTTTATAAAATAATCATCTTCGTATTTTCAGCCCAGAGATACGATGTACGGCAGAAGGAGTGGCATAATATGCCGAACATGTTGACAAGGAGAAGCAAACATGGTTCAGTCGAGGTAGATGGTCACGTATACATTGTCGGCGGCTATGATGGTCAGAACACGCTCAATTCCATCGAATGCTTCAGCCTTCAAGCAGGGAGGTAACAGTTTCTAAAATTTTTATGCTGACGTACTTCTGTTCAGTAATAGATTGAAGATGACGTCAACGTGTGATAAGAACAAGAAAGTGGCACACGAGGCGCATGCGCAGGCGAGTGTCTCCCTAATGTTCTAACCGCACTTTGACGTCATCTACGATCCATTCGAGAGATTTAGCGCCGCGTTTCCGCGAAAATTTTTTTTTTCTTGCTGCTTTAGCTACGCGAGAGCTCACGTCACGATGAATTTGAGGGCGCCCTTGTATGACTTACAAGGAATACTTTTGGTGCCCTTTTTCCGGCAATGAACTTCTACTCTGTGAGAGAAAAAGTGAAGACTAAAAATCTTACGCATTTTTTTTATGCGAAACAGGTTACTTTCAAGTAGAAATAGTAAAGCGCAACCGGCAAATGTGAAAAAATTGCGGGAAAACAAGGTCACGTGGTCACTCTTGCCGTTTTTTTTTCACGTCAACGCGGCGCTAGTTCTCTCCATTATTGAACAGACCCTTTTTTTTATGACATTTGTTTTATATGATGAAATAGCAAAATTTTTTTAATGGTGAGGTCATGTATGCGTCTGTCCTCCAATAGATCATAAGTACGAACCAATATTTTTTTTTGTATCAGTTTAGCCTAACATACAAAAAAACACAGTAGCCTAAGGTAAAATTTTCAGTTAAGCGTCGGAAGTTAATTGGAATTTCATTCGTTTTATTTTTTTTTTTCCCGCAAGATTTGCTTTTGTCCAAATATATTTGGCTGTTGTATTTTTTTTGGTCACGATTTGGATGAAAACCAAGCATAGAGCGGCGCTCTGTATTTTTTTTCAAACAACTTTGTTATAAGAGGAAAAATGAGTGCACTCGATGATTTTTTTTTTTTTGGTTAGGTAATTTTGGTTTTAGGCAGACAGTTTTGAAAAATTTTTTTTAGCGACGACAAATGCTTAGAAACCTTCAGAACACCTTCGTCCGGGAAAGGATCATTTCTGAGTACACATCACTAATCATAAATATATCATCAGCAATTTTTTTTAGCTCGTGGAGCCTAATGCGCACTAATTGATTTGCCAAATCGAGTTTTTTTTTGGTAAAAAAAAAAAAAAAATGTGTTTTCGTACTTTAAGTAGTCTTTTTTTTGTTATCGGCTCGAATTAAAATCATTACGTCTCATTGGGATAGAGTTTTTTTTCCTACACCTCTCAAGGCCAATAAATTCCATGATCTAATTCATTCATTAATTTATTGTTATTATCATGTATTTTTAAAGATGGCGCACAAAGTCTCCTTTTTTTTCAAGAAGAAGATGCATAGCCGCGGTAGCACACGGGAAGTCTGTTTACGTCATTGGTGGCCATGATGGTTCGAGTATTTTGAATACAGTCGAGTGTTATGACACGACAAGGTAAATAATCCTTTTTTAAAGTGACTGCACTGCGATTAGGTGTCTAAAATTAATCTTTCTTCGATCTCGACAGGGATTCATGGAACTCCACGGAGGTTCAGCCGATGCACGACAGGCGTTCTTTTCCAAGCGCGCTTGTCGTGGACGATGAAATGTACGTTTTAGGCGGTTACGATGGTAACGACACTCTCAGATCGGTGGAATGTTACAGTTTCACGACTCTTGAGTGGACTCAAGTGACTCCCATGTGCACGCCCAGATCCAACGCAGGAGCATGCGTATTTAACAACAAAATTTATCTCGTCGGGGGATGGGACGGGATTAGTTTGAACTCGGTGGAATGCTTCGACATGGCATCCCAGTTGTGGCAGCGCATGCCCTCCCTCCCTAGACCTACAACTGGTGTGCGATGCTGTTTTTTATCCTTCCAGTCTACGAACGAACAAAAACAACCCAAGCACAGAGGCAGCCGCGGCCATATGTGTATTATGTGCTAGTGGGATTTTTGCTACATCTGGCCTTGAAAGTAATCTTGTACTGAAGTGTTTTTTTGTAGTGTGGCATAATATATTGCGCGGGTTCGTTCGTAGACTGAAGGACTGTCTTACCTTTTTTGTAAACAAAGTGAAATTCGCATTTCGTTCTCGATAAGTTGACCATGAACAATTTGACCGTTTTTGCTGCTAAGACCGCATAGCTTTGGTAACTTTGCCAATTTTTTTTAAAAAATTCGTGTTTGTTGTGGTTGTGACAAACAATATGGCGCACAAAGTAATCTGGCGATCATTAATAAATTGGACACTTTCCTGGCTTTTCGATTTTAATTATTACAAATTCTTTAATGTTTTCACACTGGAAGGTTGTCAATTCATTTTTTTTATACCAAGGGCGATAGAGGCAACTTTCGGTTAATGTACAGCTTGCCTCATTCCCAAAAATACACTAATGATGCTACTACTACATCCAAGGAGCACCTTTTTTTTACTAGTATCGCTTTTCCGTGCACGATTTAGGTTCCTTTAAGGGAGGACACACCAGGAGACTCACCAATATTTATAGCAAACTTAAAAAAAATTCAATTTAGTCGAGTTCCAGTGAATCATTGACTTTAGGGTTCTTCAAAGGGTCATCTTTTTTTTACTGGGAAACGTTCTCACAAGCTGCTTCATTGAAGAGTGATGAACCTTCCTCCCTGTTTTCTGGAGTCCACTCCCCTGTTGACGTAGCACACTGCTTCTGCTCCTCTGAACTCTTTGACTGGGCACCACCTTGTGATCCCTTATGTGAAACACCATTGTCTTTATTGTTGTCTGAGAATTCCTCTATTTTTCTCGTTCTACTAATTCCATCCTCTGTCGCTTGGACACTTTCTCTTAGTCTCGGTTCATTGCTAGCCTCTGATCCATTTGTTAGGTCTTGACTCTTTCTTGAACTCATCCCTTTTTTTTTTTTAGACAGTTTATTCGCCTTAGCGTTTTCCGAAACCTTCTTTGAGTTTTTTTTTACCTTTTTAGTTTGTGCCACACAGCCCTGTGCAGAAAGGGGCTTGTCTCTTACGATTCGCTTTGATGAGGTACTGTTAATATCTCGGTTAGTGCCTTTCAATACAGGCGGCCTGGAAACTAATGGGACCTTTCTTATAGCGCCAGATTTTTTTTTAGCAGACGAGAGCCTCGCGTTGGAACTATTTTGATTCCGTAAAGACCTCGTACTGTTACCAGATGTTGCAGTGTGTTGATGAGAGCTTTGAGCAGAAGAGGTCTTTGATGGTGTTCCCCTATGGCCTGATGCTGAAGAATTTTGAGTAGATCGTGAGTTAGTTAGCAAGTTTCCATCATAGTTTCTTGTCAACGAAGAAGAAATTCCTGAGCTCTCCACGGGCATTGAAGCCCGAGATGACGAAGGTCTCTTTCCAGAATCACTGCTCGTCGCGGAAGATATTTTTCCACGGACTGATTTGACACTATTCTTAACAGTCGTGGACCGTCCTGAGGAAGGCCGCATATTCGTAGGCGCAAGTCCAATACTGTTTTGGGAGCTCCTACCTGACGTGGGCCTACTACGGTGACTACGCTGAGAGCTCCTGTCCGAAACAGAGTTCCCTCTCCCTTGTCCTCTCGCCAAAGATTCAGTTGCAACTCGTTGAAAAGCTCTCATAGTTGATGGCCTAGCGGACGTCTTATAAAGGAGACAGGAAAATAGAAACAAACCGAGAAGGGTTAATTTTAAGTTCCGAAATTTTTCAAACGAATGCGTCAAAACTCAATATAGTCACGGAGCATGTGGGTTTATGTCACAACCCAAAAATATGACAGGTTTGCTCACGAAAAACTGCGTTAAGTAATTACAATTCGCGTATGTATTACATCAACTCATTGCCTAAAACGGTTGCACAATTAATTTATCTCTTCCGAACGCTGTACACGTCATTTTTTTTTTAACAGTTCAAGCAGAGACAAGAATATTCACAACTAACAAAATTCTTTTAAATCCAAAGGTCATTTTTTACTTCTTGCCACCCAATTTTTGACTAACTTTTTTTTTTGTTTCGACTTCTGTTCACTGAAATTGAACTTACTTGTAAAGAACTCAGTGCGCTTCTCCTTGTTCCACTAAGATTTTCACCTGAATCAAACAGACCACTAAAAACCGCACCTGTCGGACAAAAGTAACATTACTTTTTTGCCTCGTTTTTTTTTTTTTTTTTTTTTTTGGAAGATATCCCAGGAGCTCGAAACCTGCTTTTTTTTTGAACCTGGACTTCAGAAGGGTTCAGTATTGCAACAATAACCTTGAAATTAGGCTCTCCATCGCCTCAAAAAAGATGGAGAAAGCCTGGAATCAAGTTTTTTTTTTACAAAACCTAACACTGGCAAATAATATTTTGTCCAATATGTAATTTTTTTTCAGTGGCTGTCACAGGAGAGACTGGTGAGGGGACAGTTGCCACATTTTTTTTCTCCATCAAAACGCGCCGAAAAGTTATCCCGAGGGGGAGATTTGTTTTTTTTACCCGAGACCACATGAATAGGGAATAGGGACTAGGGGTTGTGGGTTTTTTTTGACCACATGAATAGGGATTAGGGACTA